CAGGCAGGCAACGTCTGCAAGTGTCCGCCCAGTCCAAGCACCTGACAATGGACACGGAGCCTGAGGGACTCCCGAGAAACGCCTGCTGTTGCTCCCCTACAGATGCCTTGGGCATTTAGCAATGAGCAAATCGCTTCTCGGTCCAGAGGTACCAAGTACCTTGCGGTGTTCACACTTCTCGCTTTGTGAGCTTGTAGCCAAAGGCCGAGAAAGTGGTCCAAGTCTCTTATCAATCCCAGACTCCCGACAACAATAACCATAGCATCAGATTTTAACTCCCCCGACTTCACAGCCTGCTCTCAATCGCCTCCTCACCATCACCCCGGACCTCGGCCAAGATCTCCCTGATCCTCGCGGCACACCCAGCCTCGCCGTTGCCCTCCGCCGCCCTGATCGCCCTCTCACACCCCTTCTCATCAAACACATAGCCGTTCGCCCGCAGGAAGTCGACCATCTCCAGCCTCCCGCCGTCCGCCGCCGCTTCCAGCGCTGTCCGTCCCCAGACCTTCGCGGGCGGGGCGTTGATGTCGGCCCCGTGCGCCAGTAGCGTCGCCGCGATCCCGCAATTGCCCTGGCCCGCGGCGATCTGCAGGGCCGTGGCGCCGCGGTTGTGTGCCGCCGGGGCGTCGGCGTCGGCGGGTGGCCACTTCGTCGACGAGGAGTGGTCTCCTGCCAATGAGGACTGAGAGCAGTACTTGTCCGGATTAAGCAGCAGGTCGACGATCGCAGGGCTGTTGACCTCGACGGCCGTCTGTAGGGGCGTGCGGGACAGCCCAGAGAGGAAGTGCGCCTTACACGCCGCCTCGGCCGCGGCAGTGCTGCCGCTGCTGCCGCTGCCGTTGTTGTCCTCGTCCGAGAAGAACTCGGCAGAGGCACGGGTAGATGGGTAGTTGACCGTCGCGCCGTTCTCGAGCATCAGTTTCACAACGGCGACGTCCCGCGTGGCAATGGCCTGCAGGAACGTCGTCTGCGTGGAGCGGTCGCTGTAGTGGTCGTACGTGGAGTCGTCCGGGTGGCAGCCGCGGGCAAGGAGGGCGCGGATGACGTAGAGACTGTCGTCCTCGTCGCTGTTCTCGAGGTCATGGGCACCGGCAGGACTTGCTGAACCAACACTAGCCAACGAAGCCAGCCCCTGACCACCATCATCACCACTTCCTCCGGTCCTCTCCCCGAGCCGCGCGCTATATACAGACAGCGCCTCGCTCATCGGAGAGATCGTGTACTTGGAGAACCGGACGTCGACGAGCCCGCTCTCGAGGAGCACCGCAACGGCCTCTCTGCCAATCTGCCGTCCGTTGACCGCCGCGTCGACGGTGTTCTGCCTCATTCTGAAAGCAACGCTGCGGCCCTTGGCGACCTGCTCCTCCAGCACGGCCTTGTCCTCCATGCGAATCGCCTCGATGAGCGCTTCGATGCCGAATCCAGGGCGGGGTCTTGCTCTTCGCTGCAGCCCAGCGCCGGCACCATCATCCTTCTCGCCGGAGACCTGCCGTAGCACGCGCCTCAGCAGCCGTGGCGCTCTGACGGCGGCCTTGAGCGAGCCGTCGCTTGCCGGGTTGGCCCCCAGCTCCAGCAGTTTGTCGAGAAACGCCTCGTCCTGCATCGTGAAGGCGTGGTCGAGGCAATGCGCGAGCCCGTCCCCGTCGATGAGCGCCTCGCGCACCAGGAAATCGAGCATCCCGTGGTTCGCGCGGAAGAAGACCTGCAGCTCTCGCGACGGGTAGGTGACGCAGCTCGCCGACCCGGACCGCAGAGTCTTGATGCCCAGGATCACATCCCGCCGGCCCCAGAGGATGGCTTGCGTGAGGAGCGAGCTCGAGACACCGCCGCGCGAGACCATGTCGTCGTCGTCATCGTCACCGTCGCCCTCACCGTCGTTCTCTCCTTCTCTGCCGTTGTGGGCGTTGGTGTTGTTATTATTGTAGCCCTTGGGATATCCACGCTTCGGCCTCCGGAGCGCCGAGTGTAGGAACGTGTCGGAAAGGCTCTTTGTGCCGCCGCCCGCTGCCAGGACTGCCCGCGTGACGGGCAGGTTGTGTCGCAGGACAGCCGCGAATAAGGGATCCGGCGCGCAGGGCGAGTGGGAGACGTTCTGCGAGAGGTCGCCGCCGGCATCCAGGAGCAGGTAGAAGGCGGCGTCGTGGCCATTGAGGATCGCGAGGGCCATGGCGTGCGTCATATCGGACGGGGCGAGGATGTCGCCGTTGCAGTGATCGAGGATCTTCTGGAGATACGGCAGGTTGCCCACGGTCGCGGCACCCTCGAGGGCGCACTTCCTGTGTTCCGCACTGCGGCGAGTCGCCTCCAGGGCACCCTTGGCCTCGCAGATGGCGATGTGGCGCTCGACGCCGCTCTCAATGGCCTCGCTCAGGGGCGTTGAGTACTGCTCCATGGACACGCGGTCGCTGTAGTCGTGCGAGTGGCTGTCGATCGTGTGCTGCTGGCACCCGGCGATATCCGGGTCCATGGCGAGCACGCGGTCGACGATGGCTCCGTCCCTCGTGCGCATCGCTGCGCTGAGAACCATGTCCCAGCGAACATGCGGTGCGTACGTGTCCTTGTGCGTGACAGCCAGGAAATCGAGCACGCCGACGAAGCCGCGCCAGCAGGCCTCGATAAGCACCCACGTGATGACGGTATTGCCGTAGCGCGACGGGCACTTGCCGCAGGCCTTCCCGCTGACCTTTCTCTCATCCCGGCCGGCGGCGGCGCCCGAGCACATGTAGTGCACCCTCTCGATGACCTCGATGGCCTCGGCCTCGCTTCGTGCCCGCCGCACTAGCTTGACGACCATGCCCTGGCTTACCAGCGTCCGGTGCATTGCTGGTGGGACGCTCATGGCGAGCTGCATCGCGAGCTCCATCTCGCCGTACGCGACGGCGTTCGCGATACAGATCGGGTCGAAACCGCAGCCCGCGTCAAGGAGAAGTCCGGCGGATGTGAGACCGGCGGCGCGGACGTGAGGCGCCCTCCGTTCGGCCTTGAGTCCCATGCTAGCGAATAAGTGCGGGTTCGTCCCGACGACGAGGTCCAGGGGTCCGGGCCGGGTCACTCCGGGAACGGGCGGCGGGTTGATGCTGCCGGGCGCCTCAGCGGCATCGATGCGCTTGTTTGGGTCGGCGCCGTGGGCGAGCAGGAGGGCGATCATATCTGTGTCGCGTGTCTTGGCAGCCTTCTCGATGAGGGTTAGGGGGTCCGGCTTGTATGCGCTGTTTCGCGACGGAGAGGACGATGACGACCGGGCACGCAGCTCGTTGATATCGGAGCTGTCTGCGGTTCTCAGATCAAGGAGCATCCGGGCCACTTCGGCATCCTTGGCCTCGACAGCCGCCTTGAGGAGGTTGTCGGCCAGCGCACGCGGGATGTGGCCCGGAAGCTTGAGGATGCCTCGCAGCAGAGACGTGGCGTTGGCCTGCCGCCGGAGGTGTGCGAGGATAGACTCGGTCGGAATGTCGTCGAGCCCTGCGAAGCCATTGGCTACGGAGAAGAGGACCATGCGCAGGACTGTCGAGGCAGACATGTCGTTCTTGTCGATGAGGATGTGGCTGGCAAGTGGACTGCTCGTAGTGGGCTTTGGGCCAGGGCCTCGGAGAAGATGCTGAGGTGTGCTGCTCCGGCGCAACGAGAAGCTGTGGAGGTAGAGGAACAGGGCGGCAGGATCCACCGGTCGCGGAGACTTCGTGGCCTTCTGGATCTCAAGGACGAGGCGCTGCATGTCCTGCTGGACGTGCTGGATGCCGGCTGAGTCCTGCTTTAGGAGCTGGCCCGGGGTCGCCTTGTCTACTGGCTGTAAGTCTTACATTGTCGCCATCTGCATAAACCAATATACGGAACTTACCACCAAAGACGGCCCGCTCGAATTGCTCAAAGGGGAGGTCGCGCAATGGCACTCGAGAGTGGTTACCCACCGACTCGGGCTGGGTTGCAGAGACCTGCTCGCTGATTGACCTCAGTGAAGTCCATGTGCCCGTTGCCTCGAGGACCTCGATGTCAATCTCTGGAAGTCTGCCAGGTGCGTAGTCTGTACAAGCTCGGTGAGTCCAACAGAGCATTACTCAGCTAGGCATGGATACTTACCATCTGAGACGAAGACATCGTCGGCATCGGCCCCATGTCTGCTACGGATTTCTGTGAGCTCGGCCTTAGAAATCAGATCGCCCTTGCTCAACAGCCGACACTGGGTCTCAGAGGCTGCAAGGTCGTCCAAGGCCTGCAGAACGACTCGCCAGTGCTTCCTTCGGGCAGACCGGCGGTTGTTCCACGCCTGTAGCTTCGCTTCAACCTGTGCCCGTCTATCGGAGACTGTCAGCTTGGTTCCCATATGGAGTCCGCAGAGGCTAGATACAAAGGGGAGATACTTACGTCACCTCGACACCGTGCTGAATGCGCAGCAAGTCTGCTATCTCTGAAGCATCACGATCCCTGCTTGCCGGCAGCACAAAGTCGCGGAGTCGTTCCCAGTCCACAACTGTGGAACTTGGGGCTTGTCCTACTGGATCAGAGGTTGCGGATGCCATGAGGTGGTCTTGTCATCTAATGATGACCGTCGTTCTCGAGTCTGGGCTGCAATTTGAAGCCGGATGTGCGTCGCCTTGAGGTATCTGCTGGTGTCTCTAGAACGCAGGAAGCGGTTGTCCTCAGTAGTAGCATTGTAAAGAAGATAACAAGAGGTGAAAGCACGCACCCAGCAAATTGAGTCCTGTGGCTTGGCTCGGTTGCCTAGAGTGAGGGATCTGCAGGACTCTGGGTTACCCCACGTTCAGTGCATGGCGCTTAAGTCCATGTCGAATTGGTGCTCATGTCCCCTCTACTGGGAGCACCCCCGGGATTCCATGAAATTCCGCACTACAATTCAGCCGCATTTGAACTCCCTCGCGACAGGACAAAACAACCAAATGACCTCATGTATACCAGCCAGCCTTGAAGGTGTCAAAAAAACACCCAGCTTGTTCACGATGCGTGACACGTCAGATCCGAGGTAGGATGGACATCAAAAAGCAAGGTCCTACCCGGACTCGAACCGGGGTCGCCGGAAACTTGTCGCAGGCTCCATTTGAGAGAAGCAGCTGCGGAGTCAGAATCCGAAGTGATAACCAACTACACTATAGAACCAGATGTGCTATGGTTGGAGTGGGCAGGGACATCAAAGCCATTATCAAGTCTCCCGTCTCCGTTGGGTACCTGCGTACACAGCACAATTACGCGGACACATACTGGTCGAACCCACATGCCAACGTATGTTTGCCTGCCGCCGTTTGTGCTCGGCGGAATGAAGTGTATGGGATTGAGCATGGACAAAACGAGACTCGTCACCCAGGCTGTAAAAAGAACACAAGGTCGCACGCGATGGCTCCTCCATTCTCAGAATTCACCGTGGACGACTTCGGACCCCCTAGCCAAGCTCTCGGTCTATGAAGGATGCCAAAGCGTAAGCTTCCGCATCACCATATTGGCAACACATCGCCATCCTTGCGCACACCACTCAGCGGAATCACAAGACGAGCTCATGCTCCTCCAGAAACTGCACACGTGTACAAATCCCTCCCGCGACCTGCTGCCGCATCCATTCGAGGTCCCTTGTCCCGTTATGCCCGACGTACGCTCAATAAGCCTTGTGGATCAAGGAGTTCCGTGGACCGCAAAGGTCAAGACGGCCAGGTTGGTTTGGCAAATTTTCGAGCACAAAACTGAAAATCAATGAGTCTCGCATACTGCTGAAGTCGTGCGATATTGGCTGCGTCTCATTGCGAGGACCTTTTGTGACTGTCAAATGGAGGATTGTCCACTCGAGACGTCAACTGGAGAGTAGCCTGCGCTCGATTGTGCCTACGGTTATCGACGTCGGACCGTTTCTGACCAGAAGCATGAGAATATGATCAAGCAGGTCCATCAGGAACGCCAGGCCCTTGTTGCCAAGGAAGATACCATCCAGGCACAGCTTGACAGAAAGCTGGAGCTGATTGATGCCACGACCGCAGTGAATCCGCCACCTCAACGACCAGATTCACGCGTCCGGCAGGGCCACGAGCGACTGAGCACGGCAATGGCAGCGGTTGATGTGCGAACCGACAAGGACATCAGCGAAAAGCAGGAGCAGGCTCTCCAAGCGAAGGTTGGCGACACATTGCAGCAGAACATCTCCGCGCAGATCAGGATGGCGTGCTGTTGTCTCTCGAGACGCCTGTACCACAACTGTCACTGACGGCGCCCAGACTCTCTATTTATTTATGAGCATCTGATATACCCGCACCGCCGACGCCACCGCCATGAGACTCCAGCGCTCGCCCAGCACACCACTCGCGCCACTGCCCAGGAACTGGAATACCATGAGCCTCTTGCACGCTCGCTTGCGACCTTTGACCGCCTCCTTGCCCTTCTTCTTGTCCCATATCCGCCCGCCACCGCCACCGCTGCTGCCACTGCCGCCGCCGCCCGCCTCCTTGCTCGCCTTCCGCCAGATCGCGACGACCTCTTTCCCGTCGGCAGTGATCTCCCCGCGGGCCGCCAGCCTCTGTGCCTCGGCAGGGTCGGCCCGCGCAGCCGCCACGGCCGGGCTGCCGAGCGCGGAGCCCCGGGTGGACAGCCGCACGAGCATCCAGCTGCCCGTGTACATGTTCTCGTCGCCCGCGAGCTCGCTGAAGACGGGCAGCTGCAGCTGCGAGCCCCGCCGGGTGTCGCCTGGGAGGGAGATGCGCCACTCGAACATCTCCCGCTCGGTCTGTGTGCGGTTCGTCCTGGGTGTCCGGGGGTCCTGGCCTTGATGATCGAAGGTTGTGGTGCTGGCGTCGTCAGCGCGGTCCACGTCCACGCTGAATGTGTACACGAGCCGCGGGTACACGACGTGTGATGTCATCGTCTCCTCGATGCAGTCGGCACTCACCGAGCCCGATAAGGGCTGGGCGATCTGATGCGGCGGTAGACGCTGTTGCTCTTCTCGATGGTGCTGTTCTAGTTGCTGCCAGACATCGTCGTGTCGATCGACTTGAGGCCGTGACACGGCATAGGGCGCCTCATGGGGTCGTGCTGATGCCGGCAGGGGCCGTGGGTTGGTTGTTTCGGCAGCGCTGTCTGGAGACGAGGCGTACGCCGGGCTGGTCGCTGCGCGGATGATGTGGCCGCGTACCTCGTACCCCGGCGGTTGCTCTCCACCCACAACCGGCCTTGTCGCCGACGACGCTCGAGCCCGGCGTCTGTCGTCTCCGGACGGGTGGTCAGTGCGAAGAGGTGAGATCTCTGGGAACCGGAAGATGGTCTCGGGTGACTTGTGGTGCCGTCCAACATCTCCCGCTCTGGCGGTGAGCAGGGGCATCAGATACGCAGCAGACCCCTCTGCGTCTCTGGGGCCGCCCTGCTCAGCGACGGCAGGACCGGCGTGGATGACCATCTCGAGCTCCTGCTGGTCCGGGTGCAGCATCAGGCGCTCCTCGGCGGCGTCTGGGACGGACTTGCGCGGGGCCAGAGTGACTCCGTACAGCTGCCGTAGGCGGTCGAGATCATCGTGCTGGGCTGGATCTGGGTCGTCGGCGATGGCGAAACCATCGCGGACGGAGTCCCTGTCGGCGGTGCGTATCAGGGCGATGCGTTGCGGGAAAGGCCTCGGCAGGGGCAAGGGGGAGGCATGGTGTTGTCTGACGGCAGTGCTCGCGGCCGGGATCTGGCGGGCGGAACTCGCAGTCGTAACGCCATCTCGAAGACTACGGGGAGCAGGTGAGTACGGCGGCGGGGGCTCATAGTCTAAGACGGGGTCCTGGAACGACATGCTGCTTGAGACGACTATCATAGGGCTGGATGCTTGGCGGATCACGATGGGACAAAGTGGGAAGCGATCGGCGGCGACGTTAGAGGGGACGCTCCGAGATAACGGGTCTGCCGGGCTGTTGTGTGACCCCCATGGACCTGCTGACCGGCGATAGCTGTGGCTGTGCGGAGTCGCAGACGCAAATGTGCACAAGAGGGGGTCTCAGCTCAGTCGGCCCCCGTGGAACAGTGTACAGACAGCCGCCTACGTCATTCGAAGACATGCGTCGACCTGGGAGACTCTCTGGGCTCGATATGATATCAAACTTCAGTTCATGACTGCAAGGTGGAATGCGTCTCCGTACCCTAGTCATGAGACGACTGCAGCGCGATTCCCCGACAGCCTCCCCACAATAGGGTGCACACAGTGGCAACAACAGCTGCCTGGTCCCGTGGCGCCGAAATGAGCTGAGAGCGTCCTGAGGAAGTATACGATAGGTAATGACGGAGAAAACACTGCTGCTTGGTGCAATATGAGGTTTCCAATGTGCCCTGTACAGCATATTAGCAGCACCTGGGAGAATGGCGCAACGTGGCCTCATGCAACCAGTCCGAGGGATTGATCCTTCAGGATCATCTACACGTGGGTCACCAAACTGTCAATCTCGCAACTCTCAAGCTTAGGATCCACAGAACCAAGCTGCCATCATGGAGACCCTCCCCCTTCGCAAGAAGAAGCGCCGCCGCGATGCACCACACTTCCCAAACTTCACGCGCCTGCCCTACGAGCTCCGCGAGGCTATCTGGAAGCTCTACTGGCCTGAACATGCACAGACACAGGTCCTGTTCTTCGAGGTCACGCACTGCCGCGCCGAGGGCCACCACGAACTGCTCGTCTGCGCCGCCGCGTCCATGGCCGAGATCACCCGGACACCCCGGACACTCCTTGCCGTGCACCATGAGTCTCGCCGTCTCGTGCAGCACTTCCTGCCAGACACGCTGACCTTCGGTCGTCGGCCGTGGGAGGAGCATCCAGATCGTGGATGGGAAGTACCAGCCAGCGGCACAAACCCACTGAAGGATGGGCCACAGCATCCCGGTACAGTCTGCCCATCTGAGCCCAACCTCAGCTACACCGTTCCGTTCAAGAGATCCCGCGACATCATCTGCCTCGAGACCGTCGACTTCAACTATGCGCGCTGGGACCCGTCCGACACCCCGCTCGCGCTACCCGGTTTTGCCGAGCACGTGCAGAACCTCACGCTGCTCATGGACGCCAGCGACACGCGAGACATCAGGGGCCAGGTGGTCGCCCCCGCGCCGAGCCTCGTGCTCGGGTGCTTCCGCGCCGGCGCAGGCCTGCGGAGGCTGTACTGCCCCGTCAAGGCCCCGCTGCCGCGCCGCGAGCAGCTCCTGGACGACCGCAGGCGCGCGTGGGTGTTCCGGCTGGATGGGATCGGGGAGTTCCGGTACTCTTCGCCTGCGGCGTTTCTGTGCTGGCCGGCGAGTTGGGGAAGGCTGAGGAGCGTGCTGGGGGAGCAGTTTGCTGCCGAGGCGGCGTCGGTGCGTCGCAGGGTGGTGGACGAGGTGGTGGCGGCAGAGAGCACGGTGCAGGCCGAGCTGGAAGGCCTGGCAGAGAGCGAGCGGCAGCTCTGGCAGCACTTTATTCGGCAGCGCTTCTGGTTACTCAAAGAGTACGGCTTGGTCCGGGGTGATGTGCACGACGCGCACCCTAGGATCGAGACGCTGCCGGTGATTTCTTTCAGCAGGATGCACCTGGAGAGCATGCGTGCCGAGGCAGGAGACGACGGGCAAGGCTGGTTCTTCAAGCTATGGAGCTCAATGCCTGGTGTGGGTTAATGCGGGTTTGGTGGTCAGGAAATGCCGGGGCGACGTTGCGTGACAAGGACTGAGAGCTCCCTTCCTAATCTTGGGATTTCGGATGCCCATGCAGGGTGTGGCGTGTCTGATAATGGCTGTCCAAAGTGGCTAGAATGAATACCGACCGAATAGATCATGCTCGGCTTACCACCAGAGCCAGGATTGAGGCCACCAACATCGACATCCATCGCACTGTCGTCCTCCAGTGCAGGATGAGACGTCTGTCCGTAGCCCTGCGACTCCCAAAATGTATCCACATATTTGGCACATCCCTTGGCATACTCTTCCCCGTCTATGCTCTCTTCCTCGTCGGTGCTCTCTTCCTCGCCTGCCTCTTGTAACTCCTGACTCAGTCGCTCTTGGTTTCGCCCAGGATGCGTCTGGCGCGCGCCAGTGCCCACACGATGTAGATGCGATCTTCGTCTTCAGCAGTGATGATCTTGTCCATGTCCGTGTAGATCTCAAGCGCAGTCTCGGCGTGGCGGACTTTCTCA